TTTTTTTTTACAAATGTTTTAAAATAGCTAATTTTCTTTTTTTTCTGTTTGTTTCAGACAACATGGTCCTATTAAAAAATTTAATTGCAGTAAAAATCCTAAAATGTATAAATAAATCTATTAAAAATTGTTTGTTAAATAATTCACAAGGATGACTAAAACGTACATTACAAAGTAGATCTTTCATTATGGACCCAATATTATTGTTAGTAGCAATAGAAGGAAAATTGTCAACAAATATATCTTCTAATTWAATTATGTAATTATAAAATTCATCATGAGGCATTAATRGCTTACCAAAATTGGAAGAGTCATTTGCAGAGTAACATTTGAAGAAAGTTAAAAGAAAGGACTGATCTAATGTTTTTTGATGATTTGCATACTCTATACAAACCTGGCATTCATATTTCTCTAGACATTTCTTCATAAGGTATCCACACACATATGTATAGACATTCCTCTCTGGAATATTTAATTTCCTGTAGTCAACAGTACCAATTTTTATTGATTTAAAATTAAAAAGATTATTTTGTTCTTCGGATACAAACAACCGGTTTATTTGWGTGCTTGATTGTTCGTTGACATGAGTAAGTACTTGATCTAGATCTTCAAGACAGTTAGAACCTGGGRAATGTTTAAAATACTGAAGGCAAAATATTTTTTTAAAAGATTGAATAAATTGAACAGGCRTGGGATTTGTGTTGTTACCGTGTTGCTGTCTTAAAACCCCAAATAAATTTTCCAGACAATCTTGATTTAAACGGCCTGTAGAAATGTGATATGGTTGGATTTGAGAAGAATTTAGGGATTTCCATAGCATTTGTAGTGCACTAATAGATACTAACCAACCATTAATGAAATTTATCCCGTTAGTAACATCAATATTATTTTTTTTGTTTATAACTTTTAAGTTTGTAAACATTTCAGTAATTTTTATTAGATGATCCAACTGAGGTGATGCATTATTAAAGGGATTATTAAAAATTTTACCGTTAGGAGTTTCCCTAGAATTAAATATGTCGAATAATTTGTCCATGTMATTTATAAATTGTATTGTTTTTTGAGAGTCAATTAGTAATAATCCACAATTTAATGCTGTGGACATACTAGCTGCAACAGTGGYACTAAAAACTTGAGCTGCTAACCTTACTTTCATTTTATCAAAAGGACCAGGATAAATATGAAAATATGTCAATTTAGGTGCCATACGGAGGTTACATTTACTATCGTAATTKTAAAAATTATCTAAATGTTTTTTGTCAACTAAATCTTCATTAATTTTGAATAAATGTTTAAAAAACATGTTACGTGTTGATWTWAACAGGTGAGGGGGATCAAACATATATATAACTTGCTGTCCATCAACTTCAAAAAATGGTTCCTTAGGAGAAACATTATTAGAATTTGWAAAGCGAATGAAATTTGACCCTTGATCAGAAATGAAGCATTTAACATTAAGTTTAATTTTCCGTAATTGGCGAATTGTTGAAAAAATAATATAATTTAGATCTGGCCCMGAACAGCTATTAGAAACAAGGTAATAAGCAATAGGTTGTTTCCAATTATATTTAATTCCTCTTAGCATAAGAACAAGAGCGTATTTTGTGGGTTAATATGTTCTATAAGCACTTGATTGGTTAAAACCAATTATCTCATCTTTGGTAACATTGTAAAATAAATKTTGTTTTATCGACATTTCATCAGCACATAAAAAGCAATCCAAAGCATCAGGATGAAAACTACTCATTTTGAATTCTAAAAGGTGAAATAGGAAATCATTTAAGCCAGGTTTTAAATCATACTGTGAAGTTACTCTTTTTAAAGTGCAAATAGAAGGAAGAGAAAAAGTTTTTTGAAGAAAATTAAATACCATAGGACTAAGAAAATATATAGTTAAAGCAAATTGTTTTATTTGTTTAGAATACCGATGTCCACTTTTAGATCTATCTTTATTTACAACATTATTCTTGACAAGAAGGTAGACTGATGGAGATAAATATTGTTCACACATCTTCATACAATGTTCAACAGTTGTAGTCTGCTCTAGTTTTTTTTCAAGTTCTTTAATTGTACACAGAGCCTTGGACAATCTTTGTTGAAGTACTCGTTTCCTTGGAGTTTTGGCAGTTAATGAGTTGGGAGTTTGAAAACTTATGGAACACGTGTCGACTGATGTACAACTTGAAAATGATGTAGATGAAACTAAAAACAAAATTAAGAATAAAAGATCATACCGAACAAAAAAATCTATTTGTAATCAACATACTAGGAGTTGAACATCTTGGTGGATTGTCAATTATAACACTTTCAATTTGGGTGTTATCATCTAAAGATATGGATGAAATATTAACATGTTGTGAAGATTGGTCTTCTGTACGGATAATGTTACCTAGGTAAAAGAACAAAATAATTTTTTACTATAGTTACTWATGAAGACATTTTATTTACACATTCAACTTACTGTTAAATAATGTTGGTATAGCATGATTTGACAATCTATTTTTTTCATTATTCAGGTACATCTTGTCTTCAAAATGAAGTGAACACAATCTATGATTTCTATTCAAAACATCAGGGTCAATGGTTGGTAAATTGATTGGTTTACAATTTTCAACCCAGGCAGCACATCTATAATTATTAAACATTTCGTAGGTACTACTACAATTATTTGTAATGTATGATAGAAAATAAACAAAAATTAATTTGRTAGACATTGATTATTACCTAACATATAATTATATAATGACTAAATACAATTAAGATTTAAATAACAAGAAATAGGTGGGTAAATTTTTGATATTTCTTACCTTGCGTGATCTTTGGGAAATCTATGAAACTTCGTTTCAATATGTTTTTTCCCAAAAACAGCGCTGGTGCAATTCGCCAACGAACATGTATGGCCGCCCGAATACATTATTCAAATTGGTAAGGCTTTGAGTTCAAAACAAAATGACAAAAATTAAAAATTATGCTGAATGCTGATTGTTTATGTACGTTCAAAATCGTRATGTMAATATTTACACGTGCTTATGTATAGTGATAACATCAAAATCGTGTAGATTCAGTTTCAGCAGCAAAAGAGAATTTTCAATTATTTTCGAATCCTGGCTACACTGATATCCCAAACATTTTTCACTAATTTTCGAGTTCTCATTAAGTGAGCCTTCTGGTTATTCTGTGTTTATACTAACTCTGAACTATATAGATATGTGTGTTATCAAGTAACTATTATCTAACCCACGGTCTTAGAAGATAAAGTCGGACAACTTCCTACCCTCCCGCCTATTACAGTATTTCCTCTTAATGAGGCAAAAACGTTTCCCAAGTTGCCGCAAAAGCGCTGCCGGGTAGACGTATTTTGAGGTTAGGAAGTTGAGGATTTGTATAACACCACGGTCCTATACCGTGGTTAAAACCGAGCAGCCCGCCAAAAATGCATTCAAACTATTAAGATTGGTTTATACTTTATTATATCTAATAATATTAATTAATAATAGTATTGTTTTGTTTGCGTTATATCGATTTATATTAATAATCGATAATCGTAACTCAAGTTGATCCATGGCTTAAATACTTTAAGCYATGGGCTGATCCAAACATCAAAAACAATACAAACTGTGAAACGACTAACGTTTAAACGTTTTCTAGTACTCTAGTCTCTAGTGGCATTGTGGCAACTATAAACCTATTCTATAGATATTCGATTTCTTTCATAGTAGTTTGTTGTATTCTGAAAATGCCAAATAAAATTTGTTATTTTCATTGTAACAAATCAGAAAAACTCTCAGTATTTAATATCCCCAAAGATAAATATTTGAAGGAAAAATGGCTGCAGTCCTTAGGGATAGATCATTTTAACCCTAACGAGGTTATTTGTGAAAAACATTTTCGGGATGACTTAATAATTAGATCAAAGGATATTGTTGACAATTTAGGATATGTTATTTTTTCAGTAAGTACCAATAGAAATGGTATAGTGTATTATAATAGACTAAAACGCCAAGGACCTAGCTGAAATTTTGCTCTGGTTTAGCAAAATATACAGCACATAAAAAAATAACAATCCTGTATTGACATTGAATTTTGGATTTATATAAACCATTTTAATAATATATTATAACAATACTTATTTCTTTATATGAAATATGCATTTTGTTTGTATTTTATACTTCTTATTGCAATTATAACCAATGCAAGTTTTATATTTATATTTARGCTCCACGTTTAAGACCTTGTTTGAAATCTAATGCAATACCTCATTTATTATCATCCCGAAAAAGATTAAAATTTGATGATAATCGAGAAAGCCATCAAGTAAATTTTTTTAATAATTTGCAATGTTTTTTTAATACTTTTTTCAATTTTTTACCTTATCTATATCAATTTTAGACTGATGAATTAGCTATTACACATTGTCAATCGTCTTCTACTACAAAAGAAACTGTTTTTTTCTGATATTGAAGTAAGTTTGTTAATTATTTATTTTCTAACAAAAATTAAATTAATTTGTATAGGAATTAGCCGAAGAAAAAATTGTTAATAGTGGAAGTGAATTAGTTAATAATATGGAATGTGATGTCATTTTGGTGTGTGTGTATTTGATTTATGCTTAATTTGCTGTCTAGCCATGTGATAAAATTAGAAAATTCTGTAGCCTACCTAACCATATAAATGTATACATACATAATTGTTTTGTCTTAGTTTGTGTTTGATACATACATGTTTTTAAAATGGGAGTAAGGATTTGTGTATATTTTATTTTGTTCACTATACTTTACTCCAAATAAGAGTGGACTACCGCAACACATAAAAATGAGCTGTGAATCAACATCATAATTCTCCCCCCACCACAGAAAATGTCTAATTGTATGCAAGTCTGACTGGTTTGTGTACATCACCCAGTACATTATTATTTGGAATAGAGTATAATTTATATAGTATATAATATTATTTGATGTATGTAATAACTAATACTTTTTGTTGCATGATTCTTATGTGAAATGGTTAAATATCTTTACAAAAAAGTAAGTACTACATAATTACTTATAGCATATCTCATAAATAGTTTAATTTATGCTTATTTTGATAATGCAGATTAATGGTAAATACGTTAAATGGCACCATATTCAAGATTTATATGAACAAGACAATAAATTGCCAAGAAATCTAAGAGTATGTCCGAAATTATCTAAAAGTCATATTAACCTTAGTATTTCTGATAAAATGAAAGTTCGATTAGTAACCCAAGTAAAGCATTAAAAACATTTATTATTTAAACCTATACAGTATACATTTATTATTATTTTTTGCTAAATGAATAGGTCTTGAGTAATTCTGTAGCTGACGGTTTATTATTTTACAAAAGTTATAATGTCAATAACTTAGATGATTGTGAACCAACAGCTGAGTTTTGTAAAAAATTTAATGATTGTTTTGACGCTCTGAATCGAAAATTTGATCTAGAAGGGCTTAGAATTAACGGCAAAGACTATCAGGTGCAATACAAATTTAATATTTATTATACTTGGTTAGTAAATTTTTAATAATTAACTAATCATACTTCATTTTTTTTGTTTGTTTGTGTACTGAATATAATACAGTTTCTTCATTCCTTTTTGACTTGGTTAAATGATTGGGAAAAGGAATATATCGATGGAAAAATAAAAAAATCTGAATTTTTAACCAGTAGCACAACTTGTGGTTTGAGAGTTACAATCCAATCAACTCTTGATCTCTCAAATTATTTGAATAGTTCCTGGAATTTTAAATACTTATTAACAGGGAAAATAAATCAAGATAAACTTGAAGTGAGTAAACATAGAAAACAAGTTCACAACATACATTATATTAGTATTTATTAAAACATAACCAAATATTTTAGATGTTTTTTGGAACAATTCGTCAGGCTGCAGGATCTAATGACCATCCCTCCGCGCCTACTTTTTTACAGCTGTATAAATTATTAGCAGTGTACAGTGTTTTAAAGCCGCCGAAAAGTGGAAACTGCACAGTGAATGATGATGCTCCATTGACTCTAATTATTTCGATTACTGATTTAAAAGAAATTTATAATCCACAGAAGTCAAATCTAGTAGAAAATTTAAAAGAAAAAATGAATAAAATAATTGAATTAACAGATGCTAAAATTTTACAAGGATTACACCATTCAGCCCAAAATACAAAAATGAATAAAATAATTGAATTAACAGATGCTAAAATTTTACAAGGATTACACCATTCAGCCCAAAATACAAAAATGAATAAAATAATTGAAGAGAAAGATTGGGAATTTGATGAAGTTGTTGAACACAATTATGCAAAGGCTGAAGTAATAGATTGTTTAATATATTATTTAACTGGTATATAACAAAATATTATGACACATTTGCTATTAACTATTATATAAAATTTTATACAATATTGCGAAACAATTAATTACTTTTATAGGGTATCTATCCAAACAAATATTGAAATACATTGGTGATTGCAATACTTGTAAGTCAGCTTTTGTAACACCACAAGTTTATTCCGAACAAATGTGTGCTTCATTAGTTGACATGAAAACTAAAGGACGATTGATACACCCAAACATTTAATTTTTCAATTTCATCAAAACAATTGAAAATAATTTTATCAAACATTCTTCATCCACACACGTGTTTGAACTCATCGTCACAGATTTGATGTCTGAAAATACAATCAATTTTCCATGTTCAAGTCATGGGGGGGACGTAATTTCATTTACTGTAATGTATTATATTAGAATGAGAATGAGGCAATTTTCACAACAAGAAAATAAGAAAAAAAAGAAAGATAATAGAAATAAAAAAAAATTGCCAAATTCTCTAAAACTTAATAAGTATTTGTAAAATACAAAAATACATAACTTGGTACACACTCTTTAAATGAATATTTTGATAATTCACTTGATAAAAATATAAAATACCTATTAGATTAGAATAATAGGGAATATGTAAATTGTTATTACAATACCTATATCATAGATCTATTTTAGTAATGGTTGTAATGTTGGTTGCGAATTATGATTTATGAATTATTTTGATTTCAGTATTTTACATAAAGTAATAACAACCTTTAATTATTAAAATTAAATTTATAATATTTAAATGGCACTCGGGGTTAATTTCATTTTTCATGGACTGTAATTGAACTATAATATTAAATATATAATATACTTACTTGGGAATTGGGTTCATGCTTTCATGGTTATTTTAATTTTAAAAATGAATACTGATTTAACAATTAATCTTTAAAATCACTAATGACTAATGTGCGATCACGATTAGCTAATTAATTGTTACATAATATTTAAGTATTTACTATTTAACGACGAATGATTTTTATAAGCTTTTATGCAACCGGGGCATTTGTATACTTGTCTATGGGCGAACAGTGGTTAAACTGAGGGGGGACGAAGGAGGACTGAGTACCCCTTYTTATTTACGGTTAGATTATSCGTCCCCTTTAATTTAAGTCTCCAAAGTCTGGGGGGACGCTAAAAAAATTAATTTATTGT